ATCCCTAGTCTTCAGCTTACAATATAAAACACCTTGAGGCAACTGTTTTTGAGATGCGGTATATAAATAAATTAGAATTGAACTGAAGAGTGACTAATGTCACTACACGTTAGTAGCTTAATGAGGTTCCCTCTGCACTTCTGTGCTCATTTGCTAAAGTCTGAAGTCTTTTCTGTTATACTCTGCTACATAAGATAAGGAATATATGTGTGAGGAACTCTGGGTTTCCCCTCGTCCTTTAGAGCACATTAACAATAGGGAGATGTTTCAGCTCATGCTTTTGTCCCTGGTTTGTGTCCTTCCGCACAACTCAGTGTGTGCTGCATGCTTTTCCTTCTGCAGAGGAGCCCTTAAAATTAAAAGAGCAACAGAGCAAGACCATCCTTTGTCAGTCGGTACTGCTGTGAACTCATGCAGGACCAAGCAACTGTCTAAGATGCCAAGCTCCCCTAGAGCTCAGGAGGCCCATCAGTCTGGCCTGTGGGCTTCTTTCACACTGGTTTTATCCATGGCACAATGATCAGGAGGATTAAAGTGGTAACTGATAGCAAAAAGCCTGCTCGCAGCTTTTGAGGATGCTGTCAGAGGCCAAAGGGGAAGACAGAGCTAAGTAGAGCTGGACGAGCTGAGCAGAAGATGATGTCTAGGTACGGCTCTTATTCTTCCAAAAGAAGAGATTTATGGCTTTCTCTGTGTCTGACCTTTAATAGGAAAATGATTATTACACCATGTGTTGTTCTGACAACTGCTGAGTCATTTGTATCAAACGCATTCTTGCCTTTTAAATTGTATTAGTATTTTATTCCACAATAAACAGTGTGGTTTACGGGAAACAGGGGCTTGAATTTCAACTAAAACTGTGTAAGGAATAGTGTCTGCATCCAGGACGCAGATAAACTCACTGAGCCATCAGAGGAAGATGCAGGCTCTGATTTAAATGCATTTAAAAACAGATTTGACTTTTGAATGATTTTATTTCTGTGTTATAAAAAGACATAAATCCAGAATTATTTATGCTACCTTTGAGCTACATATACACTGTACTGAAGCCATAAACAGTAGTTTGGGCATGCAGCTGTGTCCACTGCTGAGGGAGGCAGATCTGCAGTGACAAAGAAATACTTGTGAATTGTATTTTCTTTTCTTTTTTTTGCCAGTCTAAGTGCAGTTTGCTACATGTAACAGCTCTGTGACATCTGATACATGGACGGTTGTTCTGCTCGGTGGGGCTAACAAAAGTAAATCTCACAACATGGGCTGTGCTTAAATCTCAGCCAGCGTGCAGCATCCTGGGAAGCTTGAAGTTTTCACAGTGAGGAGTGTTTTTCAAAGCCCAGTGTGACCAATTTAGCTTCACATCAGTCGGAGCAGTTGCTGAATTTGTTGATATGTTGTCCTTTCTTTTTTTAGTTGTGATGCATTTACTAATGTTAATATTCACGTCTCAGCTTTGCTTTTGTCTCATCTTCAGCGTTCAGTGAGGAGGAAGAATGGCCAGAGAGCTTCTGACGATGACTCGATGCTTTAATGGTTTATTTCATATTTGTTTAGAAATGGTTTTAGTCCAAAAATCAAAAAATCCACAATTGTGTGTGATCTGTGACAGATACCAGTGACATCATAGACTGAAACAAAAGCTTCGAGCTTTTCTGCCTCCTGATGACGGAGGTCACAGTTCAGACAGCTTTTTCATTCCCAACTAGCGATAAGTTCGAGTCAAAGTGTGAGTGATTATTGTAGCCCACCACCACCACCCTCCACCACCTACTTAAAAAAAGGCGGCTAGGGAGGAATCGGAAGTGTCCTCTAACCTTAGAGCTCCCCTCGCTCCTTTCCCCCCTCCGGGAGGCTTTTGAAAAGGCAGACAAGAAGCTGATGGTCCTGGCTGACCTCTGCTTTGTCTTCTGGCTCATCTGGGCACAAATGCAGTTTCATAAAGCCTGCTGCTCAACCTTAAGAAATCCAAAAGCTGGGAGATAAATTATTGTAGAAATGTTGCTGCTGATCACTGAGATGGAGTTTAGCTGGTTTTTATTTTTGATATCAGAGCTCTGATTCCCACACACTTATCAAAGTCCTTCAGCTGCTGCCTGGCATTAGTTTGTATCTTTTATTTAAAAAATCTGGGGATCTGACGAAGAGTTTTTGAGGCTGTGATATGTATCAAGAGTCCTCGTACTCACCAACGGATCATAGATAAAGAATGAACACATGGCCACGACATATTTTACAAGCATTCAGTTTCCACCTGTGATCTAATATCACCAAATAGTACATCATGACTTGGAGTTTGCAGGATTGTTCTCCAATATTTTGTACATATACAAAACAGGGATGTTACAAATATTCCAGTTTAAATAATCCACCTATTATGAACTCAGTGATAAAACAGGATCTATCATAAAATTAATCAAATGAAAAAAACAAAAACAACTGATCAGTGTAAGATTGTGAAACATGATTTTTACCTCTTTGCGTGTTTGTGTGTGAGGTCATCAGGGTGACGTCGAGACACTGGAGTAAAGCTGCCAGCAGGTATCAGACCGAGCTCTGTCCTCAGGAAACTGATTCATTTCTGTATTCACAAACATCTGTTTGTTAACAAGACGCGAATTTGTTCCAGACGGCAACGAAAATATGATAACTGATAACTATCTGTAGGAAACGGGTCGGTGCGTTTTTAAAGGGAGCAGAAATGACATCAAACCCCTGTTACACTGTAGCTCAGTCTGTTAACAAACATGAAAACACAAAGTTAAAGAGCAGAAACACAGCGACCTGCAGGTGTGTGTGTCTGTGTGTAAGACTAACCGCATGTGACCAAAGCTAGAAGCCCAGCGTGCTCTGCTCTCCGCCCAGCCGAGGCCTCTGAGTTCACCGACTGCTGCGTCACATCCCGCACTCACTTTGTTTTTACTTCAACTGAAGGCAGAAAATTATTACTTATTACCACTCAAGACTATTGTTCACAAGACCTTTGAAGAAATCAGTACATAATTAAAAAATAATTCCTCGCGTGTTGTAAAATTCCCACGGTGCACTTTTTTTGTGTCAGTCCTGCTAAATATTCGAGCTGCGTGTGACTACAGCGCATGTGCGCGTGTCCGCGCTCACATTTCTCGCTTTCATGATTTTCTTCTTCTATTGAAACTTTTCTTCAGTGGATCACTTTCTCACTTCCACCTTATTTGTTCCTTTATTTTATTCAGCTACAGTTTGTTTTTCTTTCTTTTTGAACCAACTTTCGCTCGCTAGAAAATTCCTGTAGCAGTTGGATCGGCCTGAACTGAGCGTGCTTACAATCGCTGTGTAATATACTTACATTTATATCAGTGAAAACAGACTCATCGGACTGTCGGAGATGATTGATGAATGATCGCAGCTGTAGTGCTGCTTTACATCAGATCTCCGTGTGTTTGGTCATGTTTATGAAACTGGGAGCTCTTCTGCTGAATAGCACGTGGATATTAAAGTTAGTCACAATATGCATTGATGTGTTTATATGAGTGTAAATTTTACAGGCTATATTCCACTACATTGTTGAAAATTTCAACAAAATGAGCGCCGCTCCCACAGGGCACAGAGACATGCGTCCCCGCACGACTTTGTGCGCATATTTACGCAGGATGACAAAACAGAAAAGATTAATGGATGGGAACAGTAAAAAAACGCTTGGGAATATTTTTCCAAAGATTTGAGAAAAAAAAAACAACAACCAAAAAACAAACCCCAAACAACCTTTTTGGTTCGAGTTCAGTGAAAAATATCCCAACGATGAAAATACATCCCTATATCCTGTTTTACTGCATCTTCACCCAGACGGGAGGAAGATCGGCCCTCAGGCCCCTTTAAACAATTTTATGCGGGGGTAAAGTACACACCATGAACAAGAAACTA